CTGAGCCTCGGGGCCAGCCCTGCAGGAGCCTCCCCAGGGGCTCCCAGCACCTCTGGGATGTTTTAGGGCTTACAAACCCCAAATCCTGCTCTGGGATGTACCAGGGGCAGCTTACAAACCCCAAATCCTGCTCTGGGATGTACCAGGGCTTACAAACCCCAAATCCATCCCACATTTTTCAGTGACACTTTGGAACAGCTCTGGGATGTACCAGGGCTGGCTGACAAACCCCAAATCCATCCCACCTCCTTCAGTGACAGCTGGAGCGAAGCTGGGATCTCCCAGTACAGCAAGTTTTTAATTAGTTATTAGTAGCCACAGTAGAAATCCCAAAAGCATTTTGATTGGAGTGAAAAGGCTTTTAACCACTGAAGGCATTACCTGGGATGGAACAGGTAAATCTTGACCACTGAGTGTTTTCCAGTTGCTTTTTATCCTGCACATCAAGCAAATAAATGTTCCATTGTACCATAACCAATGTCACAAACCCCACACGAGGATACCCCAGGCTCAGAGGGGACAGAGCACAGCAGGGGTCACCAACAGTGACACTGAGAACAAGCACAACAACCCTGGGACCAACAAACCCGGCACACGGCCAGTGGCTGCTGCCTGATCTGGTACGTGCTCATAGCAAACTGTGTTTGACACACCCTGCCCAAATCTCGTGGTACCTCAGCCCTCTGTGTACAGGAAAAATGTGGGGATACCCTGGATGCAGGGAAGAAATCATGATGTCTGCTCCAGAGCAGGAGGCTGAAGGATTGCTTTATTAAAACTATATTGTATTACATTAATATACTGTTTAAAGAGATACTATTCTATATATTTATTATCTTACCTATCTAACTCAAACCCGTGACTCTGCTGAGAGCCCGAGCCACAGCTGGATCCCTTGGTCACTGACCCCAAACAGCTTCACCAGAATCCAATCCAGCTGCTGAGAGCCCCAGCCACAGCTGGATCCATTGGTCACTGTCCCCAAACAACTTCCCCAGAATCCAACCCAGCCATCCCTGCAGGTGAACAATCCCCACACCACATCCCACACGGGGAGAACCAAGGAGCAGAGACAAAGATTGTTTTCTCTTCTTCTCCCTGTGCAATCCTGAGAGACAGAATGGTGTCTCTGTCCAAACGTGAATGCCACACTTTGTGCCTCATGCTGGGTAAAACCTGGCTGGTCACAGGAATGGGATGAGCTTTGAGGACCCTCCCAGGCCCTAACCCTGACCCTAGCCCAGCCCAGCCCATGATCCCACCCCAGGGGAGTGGGAGAGCTGTGGGTCACAGCCCAGCCCCTCCCTGGGCAGCGGAGCTGGGACCACCGACAGGACAACCAGAGCCAGGAGCGTGAGCTGGGGGCACAGGAAAGGCACCTTCTGCAGCTCCAGGTGACCCTTTTGAAGAGTCCCTGTTGGCACATGACCTTGCCAAGGTCGAATGACCACAGAGCAGAGCCAGACTCCAGCCCAGGATCTCGCCTGGATTTAGGACAGCCTGGACCCCACAGCCTGCTGCTGGCCCGTGTGTCTGGGGAAACCCCTTTGTCCTCCTGACATCCCCAGCCTTTCCCAGCTGTGTCTCCTCAGGCACAGCCTCTGCTCACAGTGAAATGCACGGAACCCTCCTCTCTGCTCCCCAGCAGCAGCAAATAACAAATCCCTGACACGTGTGCCTCGAGAGCTGCGGGTCTGCTCGGGAGGGAAGAGTGTTCAAAAGTCTGCCACCGTGTCATTCCCCATTCGAGTCATTTCTGCAGAATTCTGTTCAACTCCGAGGCCTTTGGGCGTTTATTTGGGCACGGCACACTTGGCTGGAGCTGGAAAATCAGGAATTAGCTTTCCAGGTGCAATGACTACTAGAAATGGATTAGCAACTGCTCTGGGAGAAGGAAGCTCTCTTCTCCTCTGTGTGCAAGTACCTGCTCCTGGCCCACTGTGGGCAAAGAAAGACAGGATCCCACAAGTGATTTCATTTGGATTTCTGAAATACTGGCTAATATTTGTCAGCTTTTACAATAAAATATACTCATACAAATGTTCTTATGTGTCTTAAAATTGTTCAGTGCTGTTAGAGTCTTGCTGGGTTCTAATCCTACATCCCAGTCAACCAGGATGTGTAAGATTTTTAGGACTTGCTTTTTAAATTGTTTTTCCAGTGAAGCTGAGCCTCTGTTCCTGATCATACATGAAGAGCTGCAGCACAGAAGGTGACAAGCTGAGAACACATGTTTTAAGGGAAAATGTTAAAGATCATTATTTAAAGGCCTTCACTTGTTAACATTCATTTGCTGATGCTACTTTGAATTCAAGCCATCTGCAATAAAAAGTAATATTATAGAGATGCATTTTAGGGAAAAAAAAGCAAAGTTTTACTCTTCATGTAAACTGACAGTTTACATGAAGCACTGGGAAACTTGGTGAAACTTCACCACGTGGGAGGTGTTGACAACTGAGCACATACCAAGGGAAGGATTTACAGGCACACAGTTCCACAAATACATCCCAGACTGCTATTTGTCAAGACAACCCATGAGCCTTCAGCACATTCTTTAAAGCCTTGTTCAAGTGGGGTGTTATTTTCTCCATCAGGGCCTTGGTGACAAATGCAATTTCCTCTGGTCAGGCTGTTCTTGTGGCCTCTTGCTGGTGCCACTGCAAACCCTTAATCACCACTAAACACTAAAATTCCCACCAGCCTGATATTTGCAGGTGAAGAACAAGGGTTATGGGTCAGGAAGCTGCCAGGAGCCACCACAAACCAGGCAGAAATTGCACTGCAAAGTAAAGTAATCTGAGAAATGTTCAGTTTCTGAGCACATCCAGAGCACCCAGCAAGCCCTTACACAGAGAGGAGCCCGAGTGCAGAGAGGTTCTGCACTCAGGTAAGGATGCTGCAGGTCAGCTGAGAGCCCAGGCTGACAGCTGTGCGTCTTTCTTGTCAGGAAATTACTGTTTTGTACTACACACATTGCCCTGGCTGTGAAATGTCAGGCAAAAGTCAATGGGACTCCAAATGTGTTTTCTAATTTCTGTCTCTGTTTTTAGCAGTGTCAATAAAGGCATCCCTTGAACTGAAAGGAAAAAGAATCTGGATGAGATAAATCACATTTAAAATGACTGAGAGAGCAAGCAGCTTGGAAGAAAAATAAAAGAACTCTCTTTTTTTAGGTTAAATAGCACAGAATAGAATCAAAAGCCCAGAGTGGCTGGGGTTGTGAGGGCCCTTAAAGCACATCCCATTCCACCCCTACCACGGACAGGGACAGCAGTGTCACCCTGCCAGGGTGCTCCAGGGCCCATCCAGCCTGG